TCTCTTAAGCAAGTAGTAGTCTCAGCAGATGATCCAGTGGACCGACCTACGTGGCTGAGGGAGTTTAGCTCGGAGGCCCAGTAGGTGAGGGAACCTGGCTGCCTCGGAGCCTCAGTTGGTAACCCTAAACCCTAAACCCTAAACCCTAAACCCTAAACCCTAAACCCTAAACCCTAAACCCTAAACCCACTGGAGCCCAAAATTGGTTGCAGTCCCTTCCGCGGTCCGAATGCATCCGGCTGTAAGCTTGAGCCCTGAACGGCCGGGCTTGGGGCTTGCTTGGGGCTTCAGAATGAATTGGGATGTTCCAGGGTTTAGGGTTTAGGGTTTAGGGTTTAGGGTTTAGGGTTTAGGGTTCCTTACACTAACGGTCCCCTTAATCGGGATCAGACTCCCCCTATTATAGTCCCTTCCAGGGACTGTTAGTCTACGGTAGAACATCCCAAACAGTGAAGGTTTCTTTAGTCACTCGCCTTTGTAGGATTACTCAGTAGCAACAAGAGTGTCTTCTTTCAATGGTTCCAAAGTTCTAATGGAGTAGAAAGCTTCGGGTCCTCCCCTAAACCCTAAACCCTAAACCCCAAACCCTAAACCCTAAACCCAGACTTCAGCAAAAACACTCTGCCTCTGAACGGAAGGCTACTACGCCTCTGCGGGCGCGTCGCAATCCGAGGGTCGGGGTCCCAGCCGGTCTGCCGGGCTTCGCTTCAGTGCCTCGGTCCGCTTGCCACTTAATCAAGTTGCTTCAGGGGGTTTAGGGTTTAGGGTTTAGGGTTTAGGGTTTAGGGTTTAAGAATTAGGGCTGTACCTGCAGGTTTCCTTTTTCCAAGTGGACGTTGCTACTTGGGGCCAAGGCTTTGGGGCTTCAGGAACCCTGCAGACTCAGCCCTTACCACCCAAGCCTCAAGCCCAAAGTATGAGTCTCCGAACTCTGTTGCAGACAGGGCTTAGGGTTCAGGGTTCAGGGTTTTAGGTTTAGGGTTTAGGGTTTAGGGTTTAGGGTTTAGGGAAGCCGAACTCTCAGCCTTAGGACGCATACCCCGAAGCCAGTAGCCCGGTCCCTCAGGCGGTGCTGGTGGCAGCTACTACGACAGCCACCGAAGCCAACCCAAGAGTACGCCCAGTAGGGTTTAGGGTTTAGGGTTTTGGGGTTTAGGGTTTTAGGTTTAGGGTTTAGGGTTTAGGGCTGCTGTGCTTGCACGGTAACACACCCCAAGATACCACTCTTTGCTTAAGAACCCCAAAGAATAGCACCAACAATCCCCACATTGCCCTTGTAAGGAACAATATTTTTTGTGGGTTCATAAGCAATGAGTAGAATAAGACACATACCCAATCATCAGGGTACATTTGCTTTCTTTGGGGGCATTGGGGTTACTCCAGCTAGAGCTTGAGGTCTTGGGTTTACAGAGCTTAAAGGGGGCTTCGGGGGCACCGGAGTTTCTGAGCTTACAGGGAGTTGGACTGCGAGCGAGCAGTTCGCCTGCGTGTTCTTGATGTTTGGGTTTAGGGGGTTTAGGGTTTAGGGTTAGGTGGTACTCAGGGCTTTGGGCTCGGTCCCCAAGCCCTGGAGCCAGCGAGTTTCTGAAACATTCCCCCCAAAACGTCCAGTCCACACCGTTCTATACTCCAAGTAACAAGTATAGGATTCTTCCAACCCTAAACCCTAAACCCTAAAAGCCTAAAACCTTAAACCCTAAACCCTAAACCCTAAACCCGAAACCCTAAACCCTAAACTTACAGTGGTAAACCTCCAAGGGTAAGTTACATGGTCCTTATAATGGTTTGTGGTCGTTATATACGGGATAGATGAGGGCCTCCCAGTTATGTGCTCATACTAAGGGGCCTTGTAAGTTCCCTCAGAAAACACCTAAGCCCCAAACCCCACACCCCCAACCCCGAACTCTAAGAAACCCTCAACCCTAACAAGACCCGAATAACAAACCCTGACCCTAAACCCTGAACCCTGAACCCTAAACCCTAAACCCCAAACCCCAAACCCCCAATTCCTGCGCCCGGCCGAGCTTTGAAGGCCGGGCCGCGCCCGAGAAGCCATCGTCAGGCAGGTTTGGGGTTTGGGGTTTGGGGTTTGGGGTTTGGGGTTTAGGGTTTAGGGTTTAGGGTTTAGGGTTCCGGGTTTAGGGTTTAGGGTTTAGGGTCTAGGGTTTGGGTAGGGTTTGGGGTTTGGGGTTTGGGGTTTGGGGTTTGGGGTTTAGGGTTTAGGGTTAGGGTTTAGATTTGGCTGCCTCGCCCCCTTGGAAAGTAAGACACCGTCGACAGTTTGGTTCTCGGGGTGGGCAAAGGTCTTACCAGCCTGTTTTGGCAGCAGCATCTATGGTTCTACAAAGGCGGTCCCAGAGAAAGCCAACAAAAGCCCTGACAACCCGCACGGCCAAATTCCCTTGCCCCGAATCCTAACCCAACCCCTAAACCCTAACCCCCTCAACCCTAAACCCTCAACCCTAAACCCTAAACCCTAAACCCAAAACCCTAAACCGACCCTTTCCAAAAGGATTCGTTGCCTCTCCGGGCGTCCGGGGCGGCTTCCATGGAAGTGACGCCCAGCGGGCACACGTCGAAGCCATGCGCTGCGACCCCGGATGCTGCCAAAACAGCTCCGGTTTGGGGCTTTCGGGTTCAGTAAAACCTAAAGGGTTTAGGGTTTAGGGTTTAGGGTTTAGGGTTTAGGGTTTAGGGTTTAGGGTTTAGGCTTCAGGGTTTAGGCTTCAGGGTTTAGGCTTCAGGGTTTAGTCTTCAGGGGTCTCCAAACGAGCATAATCTGCAGTCTCGACAGAGCCAGTCAGTAGTGATGGCAGGTATTGTTGGACTGCCCCGCTTCTTGAATAGGTCAGACTGGACAGCAAAGGGCTTTGGGTCTCTTAGGGATTTGGGGTTTTGGTTTGTTGTGGATCTTTTTCGAAGAGACACCTGAGGAACACGGGGGGCTCCATTGAGAGCAGATTAAAGAGGACCCTTTAGGGGTACAACCTTAAGGTTACGAATTTGGATCCCCACATGGTGAATTCCGGCCTTAAAATCTTAAGAGGCTCGAAAACCCGAAACCCGAAACCCTCAGTCGACGAACCCTCGCATCATGTTAGGTTTCGGTGTTCAGGCCTTAGGGTGTAGGGTCCAGGATTTAGATTCGGGGTTGGGATGTTCCCCCTTATACCAAGAGTCCTCAATAGGGATTATAATGACCCCCTATGATATTCCTTGTTAAGGACTGTCGTTTAGGGCTTAAACAGCTCCGGAAAAGACCCCCCCCCCCCGCATCTTAGGGTTTAGGGTTTCGGGTTTAGGGTTGAGGCTTCCCATTTCTAAGGAACATGTGATTCTACATACGAAGCCACAACACCTGAGAGCTGGCTTCGGATCAGTTAGGCATCCCCCCATTGAGCTATAGGGCTTGGGGTTTCAGGTTTAGGGTTTAGGGTTTAGGGTTTAGGGTGTAGGGTTTAGGGTTTAGGGTTGGCCTGCCCTTAGCCCCTTTCATATGGTACTAGGGAGTTGGTTTGACTTTCTTCAACCCTGTAGAGCTGGTATTAGCACCCAGGCCGCTCCACTGCGGATGCCACTCCAGTCACAATGCCCGTGCAGGCAGAGGGTTTAGGGTTTAGGGTTTGGTGTTTGGGGTTTGGGGTTTAGGGTTTAGGGTTTAGGGTTTACAAGGGTTGGCTTAGGGTTTATAAGGGTTTTGGGTTTAGAGTTTAGGGTTCAGCAAAGTTCATACTTTAGGAGGTTCGGGCCTAAGCTGGAACCCTAATCTAGATCCAACCCCGCTTAGCCAGGCAACATGGGTCAGTTGCCCGCCTGAAGTATGGCGACATTTCGGTACAGTTGCCCCTGGTCTGCTTGCTGCGGCGACATGTCGATACAGTTGCCCGCCTGCGCCCCGCCTCCCTGGCCTGCGTGGCGACATTTCGATACAGTTGCCCGCCTGAGCCTCCCTGCCCTACCTGCTGTCCTTGTACTGTCCTGAATCTTGTCCTGCCTCACAACTGTCCTATCTGCTGTTCTTGTACTGTCCTGACTGCGTCGCGTCACATTACATGATGCGTGCCACTTTGTCCTTAAAGTCTAACTACCCCACTTGTCGGGTGGGGAATAACCCTAAACCCCAACCCTAAACCCACGTCCCGGAAGACTTTCAGCCTTCGAAAGCCGCGCCGGGCGCAGGATGTGGCTGTTCGCTCCCATCTGGGGCCCTAGGCCCAGCTGGCACTGCCTCAGGGGGTTTACGGTTGATGTTTGATGGGTTCAGGTTTCGGGTTAAATGGTTTCGGGTTGAAGCTTTTTTGGGTGTTGGGTTCAGGGTTTAGGATTTTGGGGGGGAGGGCGGTGGACAGAGGGGGGGGTTCAGATTCTGGGGCTTTGTGTCTGAGAGGGCTTTCGCCTTCCCCAACTAGTTGATGCGAGTAGCTACTTGACCTGAGGATGCCATGGCTGGGGCTATTGCCTATTCATTACGGCGCACAAGGCGATAGAGGATGGACGCTATTATATTCCCTAGGACGCTTACTCTTTTTTTTTCTTTGAGGTTTAGGCTCCCTTATAAGCCCCTTCAAACCCCAAAAGGGCATTCCTTTGTATTCCTATGTTACTCTTGTGTCTAGTCCCCTGAGAAATCCGCTAGAATCCCTTGTTGAATCATGAGTAGTTCTCTAAAATGGGGACCCAGGTACCCTATGGTACGTACGGCCCTTGAAATAAGGACCTCAAAAGGACGCCCGGAACTACCCAAAACGTTCAACCCTAAACCCTGAACCCTGAATCCTATGTTCTTCACCTTCGGGTATCTTCGTTAAGTCCAGGGCTCATACGTGATTGGGAACCATGGGTTTAGGGATGTTGTTTAGGGTTTGGGGTTCAGGGTTTAGAGTTTAGCGATTTTGGGATCGTGGGGGTTTAGGGTCCCCTTTTCTCTCCTCAATAATGAGGGGCTGTAATGCAACAGGGATCTGAAAGGGACCTTATTTGTATGCACTCTAGCTCAGACCATGAACAGCCTGCTCGTACTACAGGACCCTTGGTCGCCCATCCGCTGTATACATCTCCGCAGGATCGTGTTTATGGCTGCAAGACGGCATGCGCGTGAAAATCGGTACCACAAGGAGCTTTGGTTTCTTCTTGCGAGATGGCAGACAGATTCAGGTTCCTTGGTACATGCAGACGCTTGCATGCCTGCCATAAGGCTGAACGCCCTAAAAGAGCGGAAGCAGAAGGAGGAGGAGGACCGACACCGAGTGAAATTCAAGCACGACCTTTCGCTAGACAAACCCCGAAACCCTAAACCGGACTCACAACCCAGCTTCTTGCAACCAAACTGGCGAAGTGTTCATGTTGACGTGCAGGGTTCTTCACAGGGAATTTGGCAAGTAGGCTTTCTACGTATTCCCTTAAAGGGTTATGTAGGTACCTACTTACTGATTTTCTTCAAAGCACTAGCAAATCAGCCGATATCCTGCACCCTGAAGCCCAGAATGAAGACTGGAATCCCCTTGCCCCCCCCCCCCCCCCCCCTAAACCCTAAACGCGACATGTTGGGGGCCGAACTAATCCTTGGGCCCTTTTGGGTTGGTATATACTCGTTACTGTTACATGTAAAGCTATCTCCTAGGTCCTAAACCCCCTCCATGTCGAGGCCCTTGAGATATTTCATAATTTCCCCTTATTGGGTTTAAGCGGATAATGTTTAGGAGTATGTTTCAGAGGGTTTTAAGGACCAGGCTAGTACATTTTGTACCTCCTCAGCTCGAGCCCCTTGCATGTTGACGACTAGATGCCCAGCTGCGGCGTCACCAAGTTCGAATTTGCTTGCCCGATGTTACTCGGCTGCTTGTCAGGGCTTGAGGCTGAGTACGCCCCTACACCCTAAACCGTGAACCCTAAACCCTAAACGCTAAACCCTAAACGCTAAACCCTAAACCCGAAACCCTAAACCGAACTGGACAAGGGCACCCTTTCCTCTCTCAGAGGTTGCCGAGGAACCCACTCTATGCTTCCACCCGCAGTCACCCTGGTGGCCAGGAGAAGCAGCTCAAGCGCGAGGTCCGGCTAAGTTTGGGCCAGTAGGGTTAGGGCTATGGTTTTGGGTTTGGGGTTTGGGGCTTAGGGTTTAGGGTTTAGGGTTCAGGCTCGAAACCAAGCGCCCTGAACTTAAAACCCTAGATTCCCGGCCACCTTACACCTAACATACCTAACCTAACATATTAGTATGGCCGGGCACCCATCGGTACCCCAAGCCCCAACGCAAGCTGGGATTTATAGTTTAGGGTTCAGGGTTTAGTGTTCAGGATTTAGGGATTGATCCATGGGAAGGGGAAGTGATGCTGCACGGGTGATGTTTTCGGCGGACTCCTCTCTTTTAAAAAGCAAGGGACTGAAGGAGGGGCTCTTATAAGAGACCTTCGGGATAATGAATGTAAGGGCCTATTCAGGTATACAGGCACTTTCCCAGGTGTATATATATATATATAGGAGCTATATAGGCGAGTAAGATTAAGGGTCCGTTCTAGAGGTCCCTCCTTATATTACTGAACAAAAGCCAGCCCCCCAGCAGTCCGTCGCAAACGATCTCCCAAAGGTGCAGCCTTCAAATCTTTTGTGGCGAATGTGGAGCTGTTATCGGTTTTCTCAACCCCTGAGCGTGTCTGCCTCCGAAAATTCCATACAAGTCAAGGGGTTTCCAACAATTCGGGGTACCTGTTCTTGGGGTTCCGAGAATCCGGACTATCCTGTTTCAGGGTACATGAGAATAAGTGGTACCGCTATTCTAGGACATGCCCAGAACACCATCAAAGCCCCTAACCTGAACCCCCAAATCCTCAACCCCTCAAGCCCCTAAACTCAAAACCCCAAAACCCTAAACGCCCGAAACCTTAAATCCGAAAACCCCAAAACCTAACAATCCTAAAACCCAAACCCCAAGATACTCTCACTCCTGTATCTGTCGCCAGGCCGCACGGGCCAAACGCCGGTCCGAAGCGACACAGTTCAAAGCTCAGAGGGCTTGTGGGGGGGGGGGGGGGGGGGCTTTAGGGCGGGATTTTAAGGGTTTAGGGGGCTGTTAGGGGTTTAGGGTCCGGGGGTTTTAAGGGGGGTGGGGATGGGGTCGTATAGGGTTAGTTTGGGGCCTACCATACATACGTGCCTTTAAGGACCTGTTAATAGTGGGCCTAACCTTGTCACCTTAGAGTTAGAGCTTACACGGAGGCGGAGGATGTGAGGGTTGGGGATGGTTGGGGCGGTTTGCACGAGGCTTGGACAGCACTGGGTGTGGCACCCCTTCACCAAAACAAAGGACAACATCGTAATAAGTAAATACCAACGAAACGTAACAATGACAACATGATAGTAGCATCTACATATTTTGGAGAGAACCGGGGTCTCACAGGTATAGGTGTCCTAGAATCCTAGAAAGCCCTAAGCCCTGAACCCTGGAGCCTCTCTCCTGCGCTCAGCTCTTTTTTGGCGGCTTCTGGTTTGAGGTTTTGGGGGGCTTGCCGGGCTGAAAGTTTAGGGTTCAGGGTAGGGCTTTTCAGGCCTCAAATGTTCGGGCTTACGCCCTAACTTGAAAAACCCTCAGCCCGAAGACCCTAAACCCTAAACCTATGAGGGTTTAGGTTCGGCTCTGGACATCGTGACCCTATGTCCAGAGGTCCACACCCCCAAGCCCTAAACTCAACTGAGGCATGGGGGGGGAAGGGGGGGGGGGTAGGGGGGGGGGGGGGGGGGGGGGGGGGGGGGGGGGGGGGGGGGGGGGGGGGGGGGGGGGGGGGGGGGGGGGGGGGGGGGTGCGGGCTTAGGGTTGAATTAGGTTTTACTGTTGAATCCTGATTCACGTGCATCTGCTTCTTGTTTAAACCTAGCTTCCGGCTTGGGCAATCTGAGCACTGGAGACTATACCCGAGACTCACGGGGGTGCACGTGGGTAAAAGAAGCTTTCGAACCCAAGCAAGAACGCACCATCCCTGAAACTGCCCCGAAAAACAAGGTCCTTGAGGGTTTTGGGTTCAGGGGCTTAGGGTTTTCAAGAGCTGGCGTAGGAAAGAAGTCGCTGACGAGCAAGCTTTGGCGGACTGCCGGGATCTCACCCCACATTTCCAAAGGTTCGGGTTGGTGCACGTTTCCAGCCCTACTTACCTCAATTAAACCTTCACTCCCCAGTTTCTGCATGAACACGAAAGAGTGCAACTATCGCGGAATTTATTCCCGAACTGAGTTTGGGGTCTGGTCCGGTTCAGGCGTCAGGTTCTTACTTGGTTCACTACCTCATCAATAAAGCGATGAACAAATTCGGATTGGCGTCTCTAGGCAAAATGAATGATCGAGCCAACTCATTTCGAGAGCTCGGCAGATTCCCCAGCAGTATTCCGAGCCCTCTTCCTGAAATTGCAGTAGGATGCTAACGAACTTTTAAGGAACCATCTAAACCCTCAACCTCTAAACCCTAACCCCTAAACCCGAAACCCTCAACTAAGGGGTGCTGGAGCCTTTGGGTGGACGGCTTAGGGTGCGTTTTGGGCTCTGCGTTCTAGAGTGTGAGGTTTGAGAACCCTATCGTTTCTTTTGTTAGACAAAATGCTTGCAAGTGTCTAAACCCTGAAGAACCCTAAGCCCTAAACGCTACATTCAAAGGTCTTAGAGGGGTTGCCTTGGTAGCGGACATGCTTTCTGGGCATGGGGGCTTGGGCAGTATAGTTTGCTTATGGGGCACCACAAGGGGACCCTTCCCCAACACTCCCTTGCACCTGCGCTCTAAACCCGAAACCCGAAACCGCTACCTCCCGAAGGCCCGGAGCACCCATAGTGTTGCTGGGGATCCCTGAATCCGAGAAAATGACGGGGCTTCAACCCTGCCCTGAGGGCGCTTAGGGTTCAGGGTTCACCCCTGTTTGCTTAAGAACCCCCTCAAAAAGGAAGAATATAAATCCCTAGGTGTTGCCCTTATAAGGAAGAATGTTTTTGTGTGTTTGTTGTAGTTCAGGGGCGCCCCAAACCCCATAAGCCCTGTAAGATCTATATTTAACTCCTACAGCCCTATACGTGCTCTCCGAAGAACCCAATGAGGAAAAAAACATATAAGCCCTAGAGGCCTAGAGGCCTTGAACCCTTATAGTGTAGGGTTTAGGGTTTAAGGATTTAACGGTTTAGGGTTTAGGGTGCAGGGTTTTAGGGATTTAAGGGTTTAATCCCAAGCAAAAGCTGGCAGCGGCTGGAAGGTGAAGCGCAAGCGTGGCAAGACAGCGAGAACGTTGCGAGAGTGAAGCTGCCGCCTCAGAACCCTGGACTTAAAACCCTTAAACCTGTCAACGCTCCCAACCCCAGACCCTAAACCTAAACCCTAAACCCCAAATGCCCGGTGCGACTTGCGCTGCCCGATTGCTTGTAAACGTTGGGAGGAACTCAGGGATGCGCACTTGAGTTTAGCGTTCAGGGTTCAGGGTTTAGGGTTTAGGGGTTGCATGAACTGCAACTGTACTTGAAGGTTCACGTGTAGCTAGAACCCGGGGTATATAAGTACTATAGTTAGAGCTAGCTATAACCTTTTGCTGTCTTCCAACCCTGCTTGATAGCGAACCTTCAAGCACGGAGTCAGAACGAGGTTCTTTCATCACGAGTGTCTGTGAGCCAGGTACGAAGCCGCGCTGGTCGTCCGAATAGCGCTGAAGTTCGGAAGCACTGGCGCCACAACCCAAGCCCTGACGTTGCTTATCCTAGGTAGGATACGGGGGAACCCTTCTTAAGCCTCTTCTGGCTCTCTTGCACAGGGACCTTATTCAGAGGGTCTATATCCCCAAGGGTCCCCCTAATCCTATCCCCTGGCTTAGCGCCTTAGAGCAGATGTCTGTTTGGAGTGCCAGGATAGCTTCGTACCGATCTCGGGACAACAAACGCAATGTGTATGCCCCATGGCCCCTGCAAGCATGCATTAGCATGAGAGACTCCAATCGTGAAGCTTCGGACGCATAATAAACCCTAAACCCTATAAACCCTAAACCCTAAACCCTAAACCCTAAACCCTATAAACCCTAAACTCTAAACCCTAGACCCTAAACCCCCTAAGAGCCTCGTGACTGCAGCATGTTGGAGGTAACCGATAGGGCATCCAGTCTCCTTTGGTCCGACCCGCCCTCTGAGTGGCTCATGCTTGACCGAAGCCGCTTGTGGCAAACCCAGAGCACCAGTAGGTAGGTTGCTGTGTCACAGCTGTGTAGAGCGCCATGGCGCTGTTCCCCGAGGTGGGAGGTTTTGGAGTGCTGGTTGTGGCAAGGATAGGGCGGATTAGGGTGTAGGACGCGCTGCCTCGCCCTGTTTTGAATTCGCCCGGCCTACAGCCAGGAGTTTCAGCTGCCACGCACACCCAGGTGAACCCATAAGCTTACTTCACACGGCCCAAACCCTGCCTCGAAGGCATTTGCCCTCGGTGCCCCTCCGCCCGTGCTGCCAGTCGCGAGGCCGGCTAGAAGGCGAACCCTAACACCCTTTCAGGCTGAGCGCCTTTGCATCTTTCGTCAGACCCCTCAACGCTCCCTCCCTAAACCTCTGACCCTACGCTCCCTCCCTAAACCCCCGTCCTACTTAACCCCAGCCCTGTAAGCTGAAAAGGCGCACACGGAACCTCCTAAGGCACTCCTGTCGTTTTTGCTGGTGTTTTTGCGGTGTTTGTTGGGCTCGAGCTGTTTCTTTGGAGGGTTCGGGTGGGTGGGTGGGGTGTTTGCATTAGGATTAGGGTTTAGGCTTTAGGGTGTCAGAGTGGTTGAGTAGAAGTTTATTGTGGGTTATATATAGGTTTGGTGTTACGGTTTGAACCCTAAACCCCAAGCTAAAACTTTACCTTATACTCACCCAGAGTTTGACATCTCGAGTTTTTGAGCATCGAAGGTGTTATGGCTTGCTTCAAGAGACTCAAGGAGGTGTTGAGGGCCCCAGGCCCTGAACCCTGAACCCTAATGTTCTACCTGTTTCAGTGGGGGCCCCCTGAATAAAGTCAGATTGGCTGGGCTATTCAGGACACCCCCCACTGTTCGGGGGTGCAGAGGTGGACCCGCAAATTAAGGCAAATCGCCCCGGGTGGGGGGGGGGGGGGCTAAACCTTAAACCCGCCGAAGGCTCGCGCAGCCCGGGCGGGCAACGTACCCAGGCCCAGAGCAAGGCGGGAGCTCCTAAACTTGGGGTTCTGGGGTTTCGGCTTTAGGGTTTAGGGTTTAAGGTTTGGGGTGTAAGGTTTGGGGTTTGGGGCTTAGGTTTGGGGTTTAGGGTTTAGGGTTTCGAGTTTGGGGTGTATGGTTTAGGGCTTGGGTTTTAGGATTAGGAAGGACGAAGGGTCTGAAGGTGCGGGCGGGGGTAGGGGGGGGTTTCGGGTTTAGGACCCGGAGAACCCTAAACTTGACTTGGCACGGTTTAGGGTTTAGGGTTTAGGGTTTAGGGTTTAGGGTTTAGGGTTTAGGGTTTAGGGTTTAGGGTTTAGGGTTTAGGGTTTAGCGTTTAGGGCTCAGGGTTAAGAAGGGTTTAGGGTCTAGGGTCTAGGGTCTAGGGTCTAGGGTTTACGGCTATTGGAGGCTGGGTTGTTGATCTTCTTCTCCCCAGACCGCTTTGGGTTTCACTGGGGTTGACTTTCGCAAGGTGGGGTGCAGGGTGCAGGGTTTTGGAGAATACAAACCACCCTAAACCCTAAACCCTAAACCCTTAAACCCTAAAAACCCTAAACCGTTTCAGTTGCTGTTTTTGGTTCAGGTCTTCTGGGTTCAAAGTCTTGAAAGAAGGCTTAGGCTTCAGGATAGGGCCTTAGGAAGTTGAGAATCCTGAGCCACGACCCTAAACCCTAAACCCTAAACCCTAAACCCTAAACCCTAAACCCTAAACCCTAAACCCTAAACCCTAAACCCTAAACCCTAAACCCTAAACCCTAAACCCTAAAGCCACAACACCTGCTCCTAGGCGTGCCGTCTGCGCTTGCGGCGGCCGCTACGGTTTTGGTGGCGGGTGTCGCGGTTAGAAGGCGCGCGGCTGCAATATTCTGGAAGCCTGTAGGGTTTAGGGTTTGGGGTTTAGGATTTAGGGTTTAGGGTTTAGGGTTCAGGGTTTAGGGTTTAGGGTTTAGGGTCAGGGTTGAAACTTGGGTGTTGGGCTGAAACGCTGTACCCCCCTCCTTCCCCGCCCCAGCCCGCGAAAAGGCCGCTCACTTGTGGGCTATTTTGGCCGTATGTTATGGTTGGGGGTAGGTAGGGGTCGAAGAGGATTTCATGATACGAAGGTCTGTTTGGCTTGGAGACTCTGAAGGGTCGGAGGAGTCTCCCAAAGTGTCCTAATTGTCCCAAATGGGCTCCAATTGCTTTACTCTATATTACTGGAATCCCCAAAGAGAGCACCCCTTTTCGGAAACCTTATATCCAGGTTGGCATATATCTCTGCTAAGTCCCGCGTTTCGGGTTTAGGGTTTAGGGGCTGGGATGGGTTTAGGATGCTCTTGAGGTACTTCGCGTATGGAAGTCGAAGAATGAGCAACGGCTTCTAAACCCTACGTTCCACACCTTAGACCCTAAACCCTAAACAACCCTAGACCCCCTAAACTCTAAACAACCCTAAACCCCAAACCCTAAACAAGCCTAACCCTGAGCATTCATGCGAGCTGCGTAAGCCTCGGGCCTGCTTACTGTAGGGCCCGTAAACCCTAAACTAAACCCCAAACCCTGAACCCAAAACCCTAAACCCTAAATCTTAAACCCTAAACCCTAAATCAGTCCTAAATCCTAAACCCTAAACCCTAAACCCTAAACCCTAAACCCAAGCCTCTCAAAAGGCGGGTGGTGGACATGCAGGCGACCGACGCGTCAAGTAGGGCCGGAGTCCCGGGACCTGTCCATGATGCGATGTGGGGTTATTTGTACAAGCTACTGTGTTTTTAGGGTTTGGGATTTTGGGGTGGTTTAGGGTTTAGGGTTTAGGGTTTAGGGTTTAGGGTTTAGGGTTTAGGGTTTAGGGTTTAGGGTTTAGGGATATGAGATGATACTTTTTCATAGTAGCAAGAGTAGTGTAGATGTTGGGATCTATGTACCCCAAGCCGTGACACCCAGAGGCTGAGATCCGGCAAAGTCTTGCTTTCATGCAGTTGTCAACATCCCAAAAATGCGGTGCACACTGTGGAAGGGCTGCGAGAGACGCGTCGGGGCTGGGAGAGTACCGTAGAAGCTTCAGTTCCTTACTTCTAGGCAATAGTTGAACGCTAATCAGTCTGCATGAAAACTTTGGCCTGAAGCCCACTGAAAAGCGAAAATTAAACCAAAAGATCAAAAGCTCCAAGACACAGGAATCTACTTGAGATCATGGTTTGGGGTGTTATTAATTAGCGGCTTAGGTCCATTTGCAGGTGTTGCGTTGTTTCTTGGTACATGGTAGCCCAGTGGTACCCTGTTGCCTTTTTTTGGTTCAAGGTTCCCCAATAAAGTAACCAACGGCAACAAGGGTACCCTTGTTACAGTATATTTTCCCTAAACCCTAAACCCTAAACCCTAAACCCTAAACCCTAAACCCTAAACCCTAAACCCTAAACCCTAAACCCTAAACCCTAAACCCTAAACCCTGGACTGTAACTGGGCTACCAAGTATCCCTGACGAAGGCTGCTTCGAGAGGGAGGCGCACAGCTCTCGCTGCCAAAAGACGAGGCCGAAAAGGGCCTCCTGGCCGCAGCTCTCAACGAGCGCATCCCTAGGTTGAGGGTTCAGGCTGTCAGGGGCTTAGGGGTTTAGGGTTTATGGGTTTAGGGTTTCAGGGTTCAGGGAAACATGGCCAGTGCCCTAAACCCGAAACCCGAAACCCTAAACCCGAAACCCGAAACGCTAATTTGTCGTGCGCTGCGACGGTGCCGCCCAAGGGCTTCCAACAGAAGATCTGGGGACGCCGGGCTGCAGAAAAGGACTGGATCTAGGGCTTCTTGGGTTCTAGGGCCTAGGGTTTACAGGGTTTAGGGTTTAGGGTTTTAGGGTTTTAGGGTTTTAGGGTTTTAGGGTTTTAGGGTTTTAGGGTTATAGGGTTTTAAGGTTTTAGAGTTTCAGGGTTTAGGGCGCTGAATCTAGGGCTTCTTGGGTTCTAGGGTGTAGAGTTCAGAGATTTCGAGGTTTAGGTGCCTTGGGGTTTTTGGGGTTTGGGGTTTAGGGTTCAGGGTTGGGTTTTGGGCAAGGGGCATGGGTTGCCTGAGCTGCTGTGCATTCACAAGGACGGTTCGGTTACAGTACCACAGTATCTATGGCCACGTGACAGTCATACCCTAAACCCAAAACCCTAAACCCTAAACCCTAAAGCCTAAACCCTAAACCCTAAACCCTACTCCGTTTCAGGGGGTGGTTGGTTTCCCAACTTACCGCTTCAGCCCAAGGCGTCCTCGCCTACTGCCACAAAGCAGAAGTCAAGGACCTCGGGCATTTTGCCTTTTGAGTAGCTTTAGGATAAGATCGTATAAAGTCAACAGGTGTTCATGCTCTTCTCTTCGTCTCGTCTTTGTTCGTCTTCTTCATGATCCCCAAGGTTTTTGAGTTTGTTTCTTCAAGTTCGATGCCTTTCGTCTTTCTCCAATCCGCCGACCATCTCACTATCACACCCCAGAGCTTACCCTGACTTCGTCATCATCATCATCACCACCATCATAATCAGCATCATCATCATCATCATTATCACCACCACCATCAT